CCCACGTCGCCTCGTCCCCGGCGGAGCAAATGGCCGCGGCGAGGGCCCAGGCAAATGGCCGTTTAAAAATCACAAAATCACAAAATGTTTGCAGATTTAAAACATGTTCATGAATTCAAAAAAACTCTCAAATCTGCAAAATGTTAACTGGCTTGGAAAAATATTTGTGATTTTTAAAACTTTCCAAATTAAAAAAATTCTCATGAATTCAGAAAAATTCCACGAGATTAGAAAATGCTCATGAATTCAAAAAACATACTCGCGCATCTTAGAATTGTTTTGTGAATTTCAAGAATGTTCTTGAATTCAAAAGCTGTTTGAAAATAAGAACGTAAGTAAACCAAAAAAAGGAAATGGGAAACCTAAAAATAAAAATAAAAAAATCAGAAAAAAAAACAACATGGAAAAATACAGAAGAAAGGACTGAAGAATCATTACATAACTCACTATCTTCCTTAAACTTGAAAACAAAAGAAGAGAGCACTGATTTGTTATATTGGAATAAGCGATACATATCATTTTAATTTGTGTCCGACTGCAGGCCGTTCTACAATAACTTGAAATCGGGTAAAGGCCAATGGGCCGTAAAAGAGCTTGTGGAGATGTTTTTCCGAAATCACTAATTAAGGAGTACTTGTTGCAAAGAGCACTCCACTTTTCGAGGTCGTGATAAGTGGCGCACATGCAGCGCGCCACTTGTCGCAACTTGGGAGTTTTCCCTTTTTTCGTATATCCGTTAATTCAAAACATTTTATCTCTTAAACCGTGCGCCCAAATCTCGAACCGTTTTCACCGTTGGATTCCTCGCGTCGAGATCTTCAAAATTAGATCCCATGTTGATAGGTTTTGACGAACTTTTTTTTCATAGAAAACCGGATGGAAAAAACCGGACCGGAAGCATGGTTTTTTCCCTTTTCGAAAGAGGCACGTCCGTGCCTCTCGCAAAATCACAATCGTGCCTCTCGTGGAAGCAAAACCGTGACTCTCGTGGAAGAAAAAAAAACAGAAAATGCATTTTTTTTCGTTTCCGAGAGGCACGGCCGTGACTCTCGCGAAAGGACAATCGTGCCTCTCGCGAAAGCAAAACCGTGACTCTTGCGAAAGAAAAAAACAGAAAACGCGTATTTTTTCCCTTTCCGAGAGGCACAGTCGTGACTTTCGCGAAAGCACAACCGTGCCTCTCGCGGAAGCAAAACCGTGACTCTCCCGAAAGAAAAAAAATGTGTTTTGTTTTTTCCTTTCCGAGAGGCACGGCCGTCACTCTCGCGAAAGTACAAACGTGCCTCTCGCGGAAGCAAAACCGTGACTCTCGCGAAAGAAAAAAACAGAAAACGCGTTTTTTTTCGTTTCCGAAAGGCACGGCCGTGACTCTTGCTAAAGTACAACCGTGCCTCTCGCGGAAGAAAAACTGTGACTTTCGCGAAAGGAAAAAAAAGAAAACGCGTTTTTTCGCGCAAAAGCTAAGAAAGACCGGGGAAAACCAAAATGTCGGAAAAACCGGAAAAAAAAACCATTTAGAAAGCCGAAAACACGTGCGGAAAAATAAAAAAAATCCGAAAGAAGCGTCCAAAACGCGACACGTGGCAAATGGCTGAGAGCGCGCTAAGTGGCGCTGATCATTGTGAGGCTCCTGAAGGAGCGCTCATTAACTAGTTGCTCCCGTGTTTTTTTGGGCAGACAACGCAACGGATTGGCCCACACCGATCCTAATTCAGCGCGTTTCCCTAAAAAAAAAGATCCGAATTCAGCGCGCGCGCGCGCACCCACGGACGCAGACCGAGTCGAGTCGGGAGAAGGGAAACCAGCTGGGTTGTGTTCTTCTTTATATATAGGCACACGTTCATTGATTCTCCAGGAAGGAAAACGAGAGCTCGACCTGCTAGTACCATTTTCTTCTTCTACTGGGAGAGAGATCGATCGTTGAGTAAGCGGCGTTCTTCTTCTTCTTCAGAGAGAAATCCATCGTTGAGTAGGTGGCCATGGTGATGAACATGGGGATGATGGCCGAGGAGAAGTCGTACTTCACGTCCATGGTGGACCAAGGTGTTGTCGATCCAGACTACGAGGAGAAGCTGCCCCTCTTACGTTCAGAGGTGACGAGGTCCCTTGAGGAGATGGAATCTCCAACCTACGACGACGCCTTCGTGAAGCTGGATTGGTCCGAGAGCCTCGAGGACAGCACCCTCGACGTCGTCAACGTCCTGGCGGCGGA